GCTCCATGAATGACAAGTAAGTTAAGTTCCTTTGCAGTTTGAGCTGATATGATGTTCTTTATGCCCAGTGCTGCGTAGTATATCAGTCCATTGTTAAAGTAGCTGCCATGTTTTATCCTAGAGGTAGATGCACGTCTGCATTTTTTTGCATTGGTGTAAGCTTCCAAAGCACTTTGGAAAGATTTGGGGTGAAAGTGTTCCGTAAATGCAAAATATGATAGACTGAATTACAGTTCTAGGTTGGGAGTAGAGATGGAATATAAACTTGGCCATATGCCTACATGCTGCAGTGATGGTACATCTGGTATTATCTGCTCAGTGTAAATCATAACTAAAATTGTGCCTACATGCTACACCGGTGGGTGCTTTAGCAACAGCATTTGTTCATCTAAGCAGAATCATGTCTCTGGTAGTGCCTAATACCTGACATTTTGGGGGCAACAAAGTTCTCTTCCTTCTCCATTCCAACAACCCCATAATTCCTGAAGCCTGTATGAGAAGAGATGGGAAATCCTTTCCAACCCATGCAGTGATCAAACTTTATGCATCAAGGCATAAACAGATTATTTTGTTTGTTGTTTGTCCTTGCAACTACAGAGGGCATTGCTAGCCATAGAGGCCTTTTCAAAATCTTCTCACAGTATTTATTTTTATTCATTTCCCATGCACTTATTTCCTGTTCTGCTTGTTAGAATTTCTGCTATTAAAACTACAAATTCCAAACAACCCAGCAAAATGACCATAACAATGACAGACCGAAAGAAACAAATGAATGAAGCAAAACCTTTTCACCCCAAAGCAGATTCATTTGACTCGATGGCCTTTTGAGGAAGTTAGTTTCACCATGTGAAATTTGTTTTTAGTTTTTCCCCCAAGGGAGACAAAGGGAAAAGATATTTCCCTTATGCCTTTATTTTCTTAAAATCTACATTTATCTAGACACAAAACTTCAGCAGAAAAGTAGATGCCACAATCTAATGTAGGTTTATGTAGTGTAGATTAAGGACCTATGCTTTATCCGAAAGAGATGTCGTAATTTGGTTCCACTCAGTAGATTTTAAAAAGAGATGCTAAGCCTTCAAGGGTTAGGCTTTAATTCTGTAATCAGCTGCAACACAGTTGAGGAGGCTCCTCCTCCATTATTCACAACACCTACAACTAACTGCGTAACTCAGGCAACCTGGCTTGATGGTGAATAGTGTTGTCACTGCCTTGACATTCAGCAAGATACTTGTATCCAACACACGTTATTTTTACCTGGGCATTTTTGTTCCTTCAAGGATCAAAGTAAATTAGTCTTAATGTAATATTTCCTTTACATTGACATTGCTTTTTTTTTTTTTTTTAGAATATCTAGATGAATAATTTTTAAAGCCCCGGATCAGCTTAATTTCATGTGAATGTTCGCGCTGTTTGAGTCTCTTGTCTCTTACCATAACATCAATGAACGGTGTGTGGGTTCCCATTTTCTCTGCTGCTTCATAACAGTGTGAATTTTCAGTCTGCCTAAATATAGCATGAAAGCAAACCAGAGGCCAGAAGTTCTCTTCTGCATGTGGTGGAACAGAGAGGATGAGAGGGGAAGTATCAGCCCCTCGGCATGATGTCTCTGCCTTTTTGGGATGAATGAGGCTTGTGCAGTTGAGGCTCTACAAAAGGATCAGCTGATGGGTAATACAAGTGCTGGGGGTTAGGTTCTCTTCTGCTCCTGTCTATCTACCCTTTGCCAAGGAGAGGATAGCCTCTTTCACTTCCTTTCTTCTTTCTGCTAGCACAGACAGACCCTTGTTGCTGCCTCTTGGAAATGTAGAGCCGAGTCACCCAAATGCACAGCATATTCCCCTGGCAGCACTGGCATTTTAAGCAGAAGTCTGTCTTTCTGGGTGATTATTAAGGTGGTCATTGCTGTCAGGTCCAGGCCAGATGCACACATTTATAGTCAGTTGGTCATTATAGTATTAACTCTTCTGTCCCAGCTTGTGTTTGGAAGAAAAGAGGCACAAGAGACCACTTCTGCCATGTCTGAGACTTGGAACCACACCAGAGGTAAGAGGAACTGCTTTTCTCCCTGCCTCTGACAGCCACACTGCCTGCATGTAAGGAAGCCCTTGCAGAGCCACATGCCACAGAAGCATTAGTACCAAGGCTGGTGGGAGAAGCATAGGACCAGGGGGGAACAGGAGGCTTGGCCAAAGAGAGAAGGCAATGTGAGCATGTCTAAGGATGCTCTGTGTCCGGAGCTTGCATGAACACTGCTTTCTCCAAGTGGCAGCTTTGGGAGGATTTACCTGGAACTATAACCTAAACCACATAATGGTACTCTTAGGCCATAGTTAGCTACATAGTACATTTACAGGATTTGGAACGGTGTCCTCCAGCACGACGTGTTGCTCTGGGCCAGCTGCCTCCAAAACTGGAAGTAGTGTAGCCACCTCTGCATAGCGTTTTGAGTGGGGTAGTTAGCACTGCTAACAGGACTGGTTTAGGACGCAGCGTATTTGAAGCAGGATCCGTGAGGGCACCCTGGAGTAAGGAGTGTGGCTTTAGCGAGGAAGCAGTGTATCTACGTAGGTAGTTAATGGGGAATCAGTATAGTGCTTTAAAGTCACATCCCATCTTATTCCACACTGACCTCCTGTCCAACCAGCCCTTAGACTCAGTCCTTTTGAAAATATAGCTCTAAGCTCTCCATTGTCTTGCATCTTGTGTGGTCAGTGATATCTGTGCAAAGTGGACATAAATACTACTCATTGGAATGGGGAACGTTCAACAGGAACTTTGCATTTTATTTTATCTGGGTGTAAATGGGGTGTAAAGTAGTGGAGGCTTCTGAAAACTTAGAACTCTTCCTTGACCTGCAGATTTATTTGCAGACGAGATTAGCCCTAATTTATTTTCTTGTTTCTAAGGGACGCTTATCCATCATTGACAACTCTTGTGGCCATGTCATGAAATACATGATATTTGGGGCTTATTAGATCCCCAGCTCTTGGAGTCAAGACATTGTGTTGTGTCAGGGTTCATGGTACTTCGATGAAGAGTTTAGATTATGGATTGTATAGGATGGTTTGGATAGAGGTGATCCTGCCTCAAGCAGGGGTTTGGACTAGATGACCTCTGGAGGTCCCTTCCAGCCCAACTTCTCTAGGATTACTGTGATTACACAAAACTCATTTTTCATTTGATAAAAGTAGATTTCCAGCTCTCAGGGTTGCAGAGAAGAGCTTGAGGCAAATGCACCCTATAGATTCAGAAGATGAATACAAATCCAAAAGACTTATTTTTTGTTCCAACTCATGATTTTGAAGGAGGACAGGCTTTGAATGGGAGCAATCTTCAAACGAGCAGGGTTAGCCCTACTGCTCAGCACAGAAAATGCAAATAACCAATGCATCTTTTGCAAATAAAATCAGAGGGTGCTTATACACATGCCCCGGGGTGAGAGTGGTGGTGCTTTAATTAGAGCGGGTCTGAGAGTCACTCTTTAAAACACTGCAGTGTCTTGTGTATCAGTGTCCCCGTGCTTCAAAATGATAGTTGGGGTGCTTGAACTAAAGCTCATTTGACAAGATTTAAATGAAGGGCCCTGTCACCATTTTGAAGTGTGGGGACCCTGATACACGAGACGTGGAGGCTGCTGGAGTGTGGTAATTACCGTGCTTCAACAGATTCAATTAATTGAGTCTTCTCTGATGCTCTGAAATTCAGAGCGGCCTCCGTGCTTGCGTACGGGCACCCATAGAGAAATAAGGCTGGATGTACCCTCCAGAGGTCGCATCTAGTCCAACCCCCTGCCTGAGGAAGGATCCCCCCAGTCCAAACCAGCCCATACAGCCCATAATCTAAACTTTACATAAGACTACCCTCAACCCTCACACAACGCTGATCTAACACCCTAACCTGCTGCCGGTCAAGCAAGGGGACCATGGCAGCCGGTGCCCTGCTTCTACAAAATGTTGTCAAGAGGTCCCTGGCGAAGGGCCACGTCCTTGCTGCAGAGTAAGGCAAGCCTCCCCCTCACCCCCACAGTTGGTACCAATCTGACCATGGGATAAAATTTCTCCCTGACCCCAAATACGATGAGCAGTCTGACCCCGAGCCGGGGCCAGGCACAGGCGTGGGTAAACCAAGCGGCCACCTGGGGCCTAGACAGCAGTGGTGGCCTTGTTGGGCCCCTGGGCCAGAGAGGCATCTGGGGCCCCTTAGGGGCTTAATTTTGACAATTTATAAGCCAGACATCTGTTGCAAAACTTTGGCCCCCCTCAAAGCAAGGGAGTCATTTGGGGCCCCTTGGAGGCTCAATTTTGACAACTTATAAGTCAGTTGGACACCTGTTGCACAATTTTGGGGCCCTCTGCAGTGTGGGGGCCGTCACAGAGGACATTCCGGTTTTCTGCTCTGCTATCCTCTGCTCCCTGCCGACTTCCTGCCCTGGGGCGGGGGCCGGACTCGATGATCCTCCGGGGTCCCTTCCAGCCCAAATACCTACGAAATCTCTATTGATACGAAACCCGGCGCCTTTATGTCCCCTGTTTAGAAAAAATCCCAGAGGACATAAAATATTTGAGAGAAAAAAATCTTTTCCTCTTTATTCAAGAGAGGACATAAAGGCGATGGGTTTCGTCTGGATAGAGGACAGCCGCACTGCCCTCTATGATGCGCACCCCAGGCGGCCCCGTTTGCCTCAGAGGGGCCCCTGGACACGATTAGTATCATATTTTCTATCATCGTTTTGCTCACGATTATTATCACAATTTCTGAGGCGACACTAGCGGTTGGCGAGGGGCGAGGGCCGGCCCTGGGTGGGGGACAACCCCAGTCCCCAGCACGGGATGCGTCGGAGGGAGGCCGCGAGCCCCTCAGAGACGCGCAGCACAAAGGGGCTGGGACATGCCCGGCGCGCATCCCGCATCTCTGCGGCGGGAGGGAGGGGCGCTGCAGCGGCCCCGGCCCGGCCCGGCCCCGCCGGCTGCCGCACGGCTTTTAAGCGGCAGGGAGGAGCGCTCAGCCCTGCCTTGGGCTCGGGCAGGCGGGGCGGGCGCGGCCGGAGGACGGAGGCGCCGGCCCATGGCCCCCGGGCAGCAGTGAGCAGCCCCAGCCCAGCCCGGAGCAGGAGCCGCGCGGTGCAGCCATGTCCGAGCCGGAGAGCGGCCCCGCAGGTGAGGCAGTGCCCCGGCCCCTGGGGCGAGGGATGAAAGGGCTGCTTTGTTTTGCAGCCCTAGGCATTGGGTGCAGCAGAGGTCAGAGAAAAATCTTTTTTTTTTTTTTTTTTACCCCCCCTCCCCCAGTAAAACTCTTGCCAAAGAGGGGCAAGGCTGGGCTGGGCTGGGGGAGTATCAGCTGGGGGCTTCCTGGGACCCTCTGCCTCGGTCCAGGCGCAGAAAAAAAGTCAGGGAGCATCCATTTTGGAAAGTCTGGGGGGAAAAAAGAAGAAGAAGAAGAAGAAATCTCTGGAGTCGTCAAGTTGACTCGCTTTGCTTTGCACGAGCGGTGGCGCACGGCCTCTCCCCCTGGGCAGACCTGCGGGGTTTGTGCAGTCAAGGTTGTTTTCGGGCTGCCTCTGCGGCATCCTTCGTCAGCAACGGTTTTCCCGAAAACCGAGTGGCAACAGAAAGGTGGATTTGCCCTTGTGTGAGATGACGGGAGGTTACGCTGTTTTTTAAATTTTTTTTTTTTTTTTTTTGGCCTTCGTGCACAGTGTGTTTCAAGTCTGGTGGCTTGTGATTTTGTTTTCTTCAATAACATACTGCTAGGAAGAAGCTGTGCAGGAAGGCGTCTGCTGGCAGAGAGGCTATACCGTGAAGCAAAAGCCCAGGTTGTCATAGCACAAATACTAATGTCCTTTCTGGTCTTTCAGGCAGCGAGCAATAAATAAAGGTGTCTGGGGGGAGAAATGCTGCTGCCGGAGGAGCTGTGTGTCGGCAGCAGTGTGAAGGCTGCAGAAATGCAGCGCGCGTACCAAAAACGTTGCGTACGTTGCTCATCATCTTTATGGCTACATGTAGCGCAGCACTGCGGTATGTGCAGCCAGCTGGGATGAACCAGCCTCGTTTTATTCCTAGAGGGAAGCTGTTGTGTGAAAGCCTCTGTTAATGCTGCTATAAGGAAATGCAAGTTATTGGCTCATAACTGAGCGTCACTGATTTGGCAGATGGGGTTTCCTTTAGAGCCGACCGTCTGGTCAGCTTTTTGGCTGAGTGTACGGTGCACGGACCAGGCTCTGCATTGTACTACGCCGAGGCAGCCTTAGGCACTAGCTTCCTTCCAGCTTGCTGGGCTCAGAGGAGCTGATCTATGTAGAGGCACTGGGGTGGGACGTGTCTGGTGTAACAGCTCCTGGGCTGCCACCCTCCTTGCGCCAGTGAAAGGGTGTGGCCAGGATACTCTGACGCTGTGGCTTGCTGCAGCAGCAGCTGGCTTTGCCCCTTGTGGCCAGCCCGCACATCTTGGAACAGCCTTTGTGCTGCTCAGCTTTGTGCCGGGGGACAGGACTGTTGTCTCAGCTGCGGATGGTCTGGTCCCCTAGGTGTAAGCGGTAGGATTTGATTTCATTCCATTCTAGAGCAGTGTCATTTTAATTCAAGTTCGGGTCATGCATTTAAAAAGTCTTCTACATCACTTGATGTTTTTCTGTTGCTTCTGTTTTGTGTGTGTATCATCTGACCTGTCAAAAAGTCATCTTAGCCACATCATTTTCAGCACATTCCTGTTATCTCTGCATTCCTTTAATGGCTTGGCACTCCTGCTGCATTACGTTCAAGCTTCTTGTCCTTTCCACCAACAGTTTGCCAAGTCCTCTTATGACCCTGCACCAGATTTAATGTTTACCAGCTCCCTGTGTACTACCAAGCCTCTTAACAACCTATTTCTCCCCCCTTCCCTCTTAGCCCACGCTCCCTCCTATGCACCAAACTACCATCCTCTTATTAAAATCAGCCCTCAACACACAGCTCTGCAGAGGCTTTCAGAACAATCATTGTCACCTCATTATTGTAGTGGCATCCATGATAGCATCATAGGCTGGAAGGGACCTCAGGTGGTCATGTAGCAGGATCATCCCTGTCTAGACTATACTATATGACTGTTTACCCAACCTGTTCTTAAAACCTTAGGGAAACACCCTTATGTACAACTCCCAGGCATAATGCCTGAAACATCAAAAACACTCCTTTAACTTGCCACAGCTAAAATAGGGTAACAAGGACAGTGTCAATGTCCTGCCACTGTAAGAACAGGTAGTCGTTTGTTAAATTATGTTCAAGCAATCTAAAGAAGAGGACTGTGCACATTCCAGCCAGGGGTTAAAATAACTTCACAATCCCAAATGTGGCATCTGTGCCTACATTGTGTGCGTACAGGGTAAGGAGAATCCTCCCTGACACTACTTGGACTGCAGTGGAAGCGCAAGGAGGCATGAATTCAGATCAGTAGTTTGGTTTCCAAAACCAGCATTGGACTAACTCCAGCTATGGGGTTTCTACCATTGATTTCAGTGAGAAGTAGTGGTTCTGTCCCAAACTGTATGTCCTTCAGGGCAGGAGCCATGACTATGGATGTTTTGACAGGGCTGAGTTGATGCTCAATCAAAAATAATGGAAGTAAAGTAGTTTAAGGATGCTGTATTATGATTAGAAGAGCAATGAGCGTAATGAAGCATGCACCAGCAACATTGTGGGGAGGCTGTTGGCTGTATTTTTTTTTATGTGTTATTTAATTTGACAATTGCTGTGCATCTTTTGGTAAGTACCTTACAGCCCTCTGTATTTAACAAAGTTTTGGTCCATCCGTGGGTGATTTTTGTTGTCTTGCTTGTTTGGCGCTCGTCACTTTTCCACATGAAAGTTTTGCTATGGTAAAGAAGTGTTGGCAGTAATTGGAAAGGATCTAAATCACTGATCAACACTTAGGCC